TTCCTGGTCTGAGTTAGCTATACGGGAACACACATACTATCTCTTACACTGTGTGTAAGTGAAGTGTAGGTGTCAATCCACTTACACACAGTGACAATTGATCAGTGCAAGATTTTTAGGGTTTAGCCCTGGAATCTTTGCTACCCCATAATCTGAATGAAACCCTTGCTGGTTATTAAAGACTTTCATCTTTCTTAAGGTTTCCTGCTACCTTTTAGTGAAATAGTCAGCAAGTTAGTTGATGCTCTGGTTTCCTTTGGTAAGCTTTCTGTTTTTCAGTGGTAACCCAGATTTGGGATCCACTGAGGGTTTGCTTTCTTTTCCTTTTTCATAACGGATAGGAATTTAAAAAAAATATCTTTTATTTCTGGAGAATTGATGTAGGAGGTAAGAGCTGGACCTTCACCCTTTTCGTATTCTGTTCGGTTTGCATCTTGACCAGCAACCTGTAACTAAACACTTGAACATTTTTAATTGAACTTCCTTTTAGATTACTTGTGGGTTTGGCCATTTTCAAATTGATATATTTAGGCTCTACAGTTTCATCAATATTAATCTTCTGTTTGTCATATTTTCTATAAATATATTTCAGAGTAATGCTCCTTTTTGTTAGGTATCTTATTTTTCATTGTAATGAAATTTTACATCCTGAGAAATCAATTTTGTCAATATTTTCTATTGTTGAAAGGTATTTTGCAAATGTCTGATAAATTCACACACTTGTTTTCTTTAGATTTTAAATATTTAGGTTATTTATCCTGAAATTATTTTGTAATTTTTTTGTAATGTATGTATCTGTTCCCTCTCAAAGTTCCAAATTATTAGCTAGCTAGATACTTAATACTTTCTATTAAATAATTTAAAGAGTGTTATTGGTTTTATCTCCATTATCACCTGCTCAATTCATTTATAAAATCTGATGTATTTCTGTGCTTTCTACACTATAATGATTTCCCTTTATGCCAGAATATTCATTACATATTAATCACTTATTTTTTAATAATTCACAGTCTGTTCTGGTTTAATTTTTCTTCTAAGTCATAGGCTGTATTACTTAATAGTTTTCTGCTCATATAGCACACAACAATTCTGAGCTAGATTATACAAATTAAAGGATGAATAAAGCTTGTTCCTTGTCTTCAAGAAGTATGTAGTCTTGGAGGATATGATTAATTTTTATGGAGAAATTCAAAGAAGAATCTTTTGAAAGCTTAGTTGGAAGGAAGGAATAGCTTAATAAAGAAAAGCTTAAGTTACATCTTGATTTATAGACAGACCTTCACCAGGGCAATGACTGGATAAGCAAAAATTAATCTATACATGCAAAAAATATGTGGACAGTTGCACCTACAGGGATGGCTAGAGCATGGGGTGAGTGTGTGGGGAGTAGGTGAGTATGAAGCTGGAGAGACAGATTGGAGCACTGCTCTTTCATAATTCCTGTTGAACTTTGTAATAATTTGATATAACTCAATATCAACCCCATTAAACTGCTGATCAGGATAACATTAAATATATTAGGTATGCCATACCAGTTATTAAATTGAATTGAGTTCTCAAATAATTTGTTGAAGAATGGGGTAGATAAAAGGAATAAAATATAATCTATAGGTTAGTTCTTTAACACTATCAATAAAATTAAGCCTATAGTAGATTCAAGATGTATGCCTCTTTTCAGTTAAAACTCAAAGAGGGAAAACTACTTCCTTCAAGAATAATCAGTGAACTTTAAGACAGGAAACACAAAATCAATTGTCCTAGTTTTCTTGAAGCTGCCTGTAATCCTCCACTAGCATATAGTCCCCTGCAGAGATAGTGATCAGTTCTGTCAGCCAGCAGAGCCCTGTAGAATGGAAGCCATTCTGCACAGCAATAGGGAGGGATGGAAGTAAGAAAGGAAGCCAGTGGGACTATACTACCTGCTCTAGAATGTTGAAGGTCAAATGGAAGAACTAGAATGTAGCTCTGGGAACTCGATGGGCATATTAAGAATTTTATTCTGTTAAATTCTAAGCTGATTGTGGTAACCATTTCACAGTGTACATGTACATCATGCTATGTGGCTCTGTGCCTGTAGCTCAACAGCTAGGGCACCAGCCACATACACCAGGGCTGGTGGGTTCAAACCCGGCCTGGGCCTGCCAAACGACAATGACAACTACAGCAAAAAAATAGCCCGGTCAGTTGTGGTGGGTGCCTGTAGTCCCAGCTTCTTTGGTTGAGGCAAGAAAATCACTTGAACCCAAGAGTTTGAGGTTGCTATGAGCTGTGATGCCCTGGCACTGTACCGAGGGTGACGTAGTGAGACTCTGTCTCAAAAAAACCAAACCAACAAACATAAAAAACAACATTCTGTGTACCTTAAATATAGACAATTTTTATTGGTCAAATATACCTCAGTAAAGCTAGGGGGGAAAGTTTGAGTGTATTTAGAAGACAGAAGGGTTTAATTCAGTAGAGAGGAAGAGGCTAATTGCTCTAAAGAGAGGAGACCCCCTTAGACTATGAATGCTTTAGAAAGCATAAAAGGAATGCTTTAGAAAGTGTCAAGCATCTTGCCTCAGAATACAAAGGGGAAGAGGTAGCACTTCTTCCTCTTAGAATGGCAAGAAGAATAAAATTAGAAGATATAGAGAAAAAGGTGTTGAAGGATAGCTGCAGAGAGCCAGACAGTTGATTACACTGATGCTTTGATCTTCTAATTAAGTAGATATCCTTGACCCCAATAGCAGAATCACCCAGGGGTACTGCATGAAAATCTACCCTCCTGGGTCACTCTTCTCAGAATGCAGAAAGGCTGTGATATTACTGAACTCTCCCCATTATCTAACTAAACTGTGAAAACCAGAGCTTAAATGAGTAGGAAGTCATCTGCATGATTTGTCTATATGATTGGGAAAGCATCAGTGTTTTAGGAAGTGAGCAGAAAATACGGGTAGACAATGGAGGGAAGAAAAGAATTGCCTAGCAGAGACCACTTTGAAGTTGGGAAGCAGGACTCCATATTGGAGACGCTCGTGCAGCTCCAGCCAATGGTGTATGCTTCCATGGCATCTTCCAACAGGGGTGTCCAACGTGCAGCCCATGGGCCACATGCTGATTTTATGAGGACTTTTTTTTTTTTTGCTTATCTGTAGTATCAGATATCAGTAAAAGTATGCATGAACCCCTTTTTTTCTAATAACCTTTCAGTATTGTTTGTGTATTTAATATGTGGCCCACTCTTACTCTTATAATGTGCAGCAGAGAAAAAAGAAATTGGAAACTCCCACCTAAAGATCCTATTATCACTTCTCTGCTTGTCAGAGCTCGGGAAAAATTTTTGAAGCAGGCTGCTGGCTCAAGGACATGAAGAAAACTTGAGAGATGTCCCTTCCTTGTGGGCTTGAGACACAAACCTTTCTGGGCATGCAGAGTGAATAACACTGATGGCTGTGTACAGTCCTGTGGAGTTGTGTATTCAGAATTTTAATTTCACATACTTATGATGAGCCTGCCAACATAAGAGGCCAGACATCCCTCCACTAGTTGCAGTTCATTCCTTTCTTGATGCTGCTGCTCTTTCTACACCAGACCCGGGATGGGCAGCTACCCTTGTGTGAGAGAAATCACAAGTTGCAAGGTGTTTGCTAATCTAGTTCTCTGTCCTTTTCTTTTCTAACCTACTGGAGTCTATTAGTGTCCTGTTAATTGATCTCCAGCCTGCCAGCCTCTTTCTTCCCAGATTATCTTCTATACAACTAAAGTACCTATTCCTGATGTGTACCGACAACTGTCTTAAGTACTGTCAGTAGTCACTGCTGGAAAGGTTCCCACCAACACAGAGTGAAGTCCAAACAAATGAGAGACCCAGGGAAGGTTTCTCACAACATGCTTTATCTTCAACCATTCCCACCTCCCACGTCCCAGGGACGCAAATCATCACCGTTGTTTCAATCCACTCTACCCTGTTGCCTGTGACCCAAGTGGCCCTTTGAGCTTAGTTGCTGTTCATTCTGTTGTTTCCCTAAAGAAATGTATTTAAATGTCATCTCCTCTCTGTAGCTTTCCCAGACCCCACTTCCTCTTTCAAGGCACAATTTTTTTTTTTTATCAGCATTTCATAAATCTTCAGGCAAATATCACTCTGCATGTAGACCTTACATTGTACTCATTTGTAATTTTGTCTCTGCAATGGGGCTTGAATTTCTTGAGACCAAAATTGTGTTTATTAATTTTTTAGCTGGCCTGGGGCCGGGTTCAGACCCCCCAGCCCCTGTGCGTGTGGCCAGTGCCCTACCCACTGAGCTACAGGCACCGCCCAGTGTTCATTAATTTTTTAACTGCCCAATGTCTGACACCTTAGAGGTAAACTATAAATGTTAGCTGAATACATTTAAACCAGAGATTTTCTCTTTATGTAATCTAAACTGAAAGAATATAGGTAAATAGAGTTCTTTGGAACAAGCCACATAGGTAACTCTTTGCATCATTTTATAATAGTAATGAGTTTTTCTTTTTCCATGTAATACAGCATTGTTCAATGCTGTAATTACAGCATTGTTCAATCTGAATTCTTATAAAATCACAAGAGTTCAGTGGGAATAGGTATGCTTCTTTTGATTTGCAGATGAGGAAACCAGTCCTTAAATTAGAGACCACACAAGTAGATTTTACCAAAATCCAGCTAACAATCTTTACAAATTCATGCAAATTAAACCAATTTGACATTCTAGGCAAGCATGTTATAGAAGAGAACAAAATGTGCAATGCATTTTGGTTCCGAGGCCGCCCTATTAAGGAATGTCAATGTGAATTTAAAGCATTCGGGTCAGGGAAACCCAGTGTACTTGATGTGAGATAATTGGTAAGTTCAAGGAGGATTTTTATAATATAGTTGAGATGTTTTTCATGTTTCCCTGAGATGATTTGAACTGCTAGGGCCGTCAGAGGCAGAAGAGGGGGTTTTGATGAATTTCTTTTTCTTCAGGTTTAACAGAGCCTCTTCTTATCTTCCATAGGTTTCAGAACCTACTCTGGTCCAGAAAGACTTTTGTGGATAACATGAAAATCTACAACCACAGCTACATCTACATGCCTGCCTTTTCTATGAAGACGGGAACAGAGCCGTCCCTGCGGGTTTATTACACGCTGTCAGATGTCGGGGCCAATCAAACAGTGCTCTTTGCCAACCCCAACTTCCTGCGTAGCATTGGAAAGTTCTGGAAAAGTAGGGGAATCCATGCCAAGCGCCTGTCCACGGGACTTTTCCTGGTGAGCGCAGCTCTGGGCCTCTGTGAGGAGGTAGCCATCTATGGCTTCTGGCCCTTTTCTGTGAATATGCGTGATCAGCCCATCAGCCACCACTACTATGATAATGTCTTGCCCTATTCCGGCTTCCATGCCATGCCCGAGGAATTTCTCCAACTCTGGTATCTTCATAAAATCGGTGCGCTGAGAATGCAGCTCGACCCATGCCAGGACGCCTCACTCCAGCCCACTTCCTAGGGATGACGGAAGAAGAAGGGCCCGAGCCAGGGTATTTTTGTTAGGTTTTCTACATGACTCCAAGAGGGAATGGTCGGGTGGTTTCATGGATTTGCAGGGGCCACTTGGAGAAGCAAGAACATGACAACAAAAGCCCAAGCGAGACTTTACTTATAATGTTGGCTTCAAGGACAAATAAGAAATGAAACATCCCATGGAATATTTTATAGCACATGGTGGATTTGCAACTAGTCAAATGCTGCTGAAAGGCTGTTGGTAGAGCACATTGACGTGGTTCCCATGTAGAAGACGCAGTTCAAAAACAAGGCAAGCCACGCTGAGGAACGCACCAAGGTAGAAGAGAGAAAACGCTGGGGCAGAAGTGTCGCTGACTGTCAACACAAACTGGCTTCATAATAATAATAATAACCTGTCTTATTAAGACTGGCATTAGAACCATAGGTTTTTAAAAAATTATCATTTATTTTTGCCCCATTTAGGGGCAGTGGGTGGGTGATGGGGTAGATTTAAAAAATCCCTTACTGAGTAATGCTACAGCTGATTATTGTGATTTGTTGAACCGTGTCTATACTAACTATAGTTCCCCTCTATTTTTTACATTTGAAATAAGAATCGCTTCTTCCTCTTTTGTCCAGTCTACTTAGACAATGTGAAGCATTGTTGAATTTAGACTGTGTTGATTCATAGTCTGGATAATATGAGCCACTTTCCCTCCACGGAATTTAGGACATAAACCCAATTTTAGGTCTGCATTATGTAAGCCTGTTTGCATTGTCGTTATTATTTTAGTGCAAAAAGACTACAATGGGAGTGCATAATTTATTGGTAAATTGGCACCATTGTCTTCATAACTCAATATTCCGAAATGAAGTAAAGCACAATGATTGAAAAGCTAAATCTCTGTGGCAGACAGACCAGAAGGCAAATCCCTTTTCTATCCACCCTAGTGTATATTCACTCCAAGACAAAACACGCGCAAGAATGCGTATATACACGTAGACACAAACACACACCCTTACACAAAGTTAAGGAAAGCTTAATCCTGGGCAGCTGTGAAAGCTGAACTCATGTGACCTGGTGTGCTAAAACGTTAACAAATGTTGGTGAGCTGCAGGTGTGTTACGTCCTGTCCACCACATGTTAAGAAAAGCCAGTTTGCTGGTGGCTGCACATGATGCCCACACCAGTATGAGATGCAGGTCTTACTCCCAAATCATTATCCAGGCTTGGCACCCAGAGCTGTGGGGTTAGGGTGCCAGCCACACACACTGAGGCTGGCAGGTTCTAACCCGGCCTGGGCCTGCTAAACAACAAAGACAACTGCAACAAAACACTGTGGCTGGTGCCTGTAGTCCCAGGTACTTGGGAGGCTGAGGCAAGAGAATCGCTTAAGCCCAAGAGTTGGAGGTTCCTGTGAGGTTTGATGCCATGACATTCTACTGGGGGTGACATAGTGAGACTCTGTCTCAAAAAAGGAAAGAAAAAAGAAATAATTACCAGAATGAGCAGAATTATTTTACTCATCTGACTTTCTCCCAAATCTCATGAAGGGGCCCAGGGTTGAGCATGGTCATGCAAGGCATGGTGGGTGCAAGTAAGGGGATATGAATTAGTAGTTGCTTCCTTCCTTGGTAGCAGACAGGAGTGCTCAGACATCCTGTTACACCGGTTTAGACACACAGCAAGAAAACTGTTGACAGATCACAAGCACCCACATGTGTTTATGTATCAGAGAAAGGTGCACAAAGCCTCTCATTGTCTTTGTGCTTTGAGACGTCTTCAGCTAAAAGGAGGCACTAGAACTTACTTTCTCCTTTTAAATGTCACCAAAATGTAAGTAAACTATCCCCAGAAGTTCCATTTCAGCTTTAATGGGAGAAATTCACTGTACCATATGCATTGATACAGATGACATTTTTTGGCGGGTTAACTTACATGACATCAAGATAACAAAGAAAGCCCTTGGAAAAATCCCCTATCATTAGCGTGGGCAATTTGTAAATGTAATTGAATAGGAAGCTATTGTAGAAATCAGCACTTAAAATATGACTGGTTGGCACAATGCAGATTATATTGATACTTAAAAGTTTAGAACTTAAGAACATCAATTCTATGCAGAACTGGCCCACTGTGTTGATCCTCTATGGCAGTGAAAAGGCAATGACTGTACCATGAGCCAGCCGCGTAGCATGTTCACTTACGTGCAGCCCTGAATATATTTCCTCTTCTAAGCTATTGTTATTATTTAGTAGTTACCTTAAAAAGGAGTACATTTTTTTGCTGCTATGCCATTAAAAATGTAAAAGGGCTAACAAAAAACACATGCATAAGTGGACAAAACACATGTTACTCAGATTAGTGCTTTAATTGTTAAAATTATTGAAATGTAATTAACTAACCCCATAAAGCCCATGCATAACAGTTGCGTTGAAAATACTATCCAGAAACTTTGCATCTTGTTATGATGCCTGGGATAGATTTATGCAACAGACATCTACATAAGGTTTTGTCTATGCATTTGCAACACTATGGCTGCTGAAAGGAAAACAGAAATAGCTGATACAGGTAATTTTTGATTAGACCTGTGCTTCTCAGCCGGGGTGATTCCTCCGCCCTCTCTGGTGTCATTCGACAGTGTCTGGAGACAATCTTCATTTTCCTGGCTCAAGGATGCGGTAATGAGTAGAGGTTAGGGATTCTGCTAAGTATCCCCCGACGTGTAGGTCAGCCTCTCACAACAAGTAATTATCTAGTCTAAAACGTCAATAGTGTCGAGGTTGAAAAACCCTAGATTAGATGAGAGTGAAATTTTAATTGTTCCACATTATCTTTACTTGGAGATAGACATAAATGTTTACACCATGTGAAGTATGACTATGATCTAATGAAAGTGTTTTCATAAGGTAGATTGCAGCTTGGCATTACTTAATAGTGACCGCTCATGACTAGGCCCTACATGTGCTTTTTTCCATGGTTGGTTAGATAGATCTAAACAGGAATTGTGTGTGCGCGCGTGTGTGCACCTGAGTATGTAGCATGATGTTTATGCACCGATATCCTTATCTCTATGTCTTCCTAGTAAGGGCTTGTCTAGGTCTCTCCTGTAGAATACTTTGGAATACTGTACTGTTACAATATTAAGAAGTTGAACTCTAAAGTCCCATTATTTTATTTTGTTTAGCTGAAATTAAGATCTTCAAAATTGGGCGTGGTACTTGGCCCAATTTGGCCAATTATATTTTAGTATTACTAACCCTGAAGGTTCAGCTCAGAAGACATTCAGGTTATGATGGGCACATTCAATTCAAAAATATTTAATCACTTTCGATGCATCTCCCAAGAGAGGGCATCACTTTCTACCATCAGACCAATTAAAAAAATTGGTTTTTAGTGACAAAAATCAGGTTGCTTCTTGGGAGCACAAGGAAAGATGGAAGGACCGAAAATTAGTATCTTGATAGGACTTTTAACTTTCATTAGCCCCAACTTGAGAACTGCATTGATTCAGAAGATCATGAATACAGGTGACATCTGTTTAATTTTAATCACACCTCAGTAAAATTAAGACCAGGGAAGGATTAAATCATTCTATAAGAAAGAAAAGTAATGTTTTATATAAAAGTTTTTATGTGGAAGAGGACTTCTGGCTACACATGCTTTCAATAGAGTATTAGTCAAAAGTTTGTTTTTTTTTTTTTTTTTTCAGACAGAGCTTCAAGCTATCCCCCTGGGTAGAGTCCTGTGGCATCACAGCTCACAGCAACCTCTAAGTCCCAGGCTCAAGCAAGTCTCCTGCCTCAGCCTCCCAAGTAGCTAGGACCACAGGCGCCTGCCACAACACCCAGCTGTTCTTTGGTTGCAGCCATCATTGTTGTTTTGGCGGCCCGGGCTGGATTCGAACCCACCACCTTAGGTGTATGTGGCTGGCGCCTTAGCCGCTTGAGCCACAGGCACTTAGCCAAAAGTTTATACAGGATTGTGAAGTGGCACTGCATGGTTATCACACAGAAAGTTAAGGAAGTGCTCACTGGATTTTGATTCTGTGCAGTTTGCTTTTTGCTACTTCAACAAATATAGAAAGTAAATTATCCAAAATGGCAGATGTTCAGAATACTATGTTTGGCTGTGTGATATCTCATGCCCTTCTTTTGGCTAAAAATTTGTTTAGGCTAAATATAACTTGTACCTGCAGCAATCTGGCCAACATGACTTAAAATGGAAAATAACGGAAGAAATTCTTGGATTTTAAATTTACTAAAAATGTTCTTAGTCAAACGCTTTCCAAGAGTGTTCTAAGATGATCCAAAATGGAAACAATATCAATCGTGTTTATTCTTGTCAGCAGCTATGGTGATTTTTATAACTTTATTATCTATTCAATAGCTAGATCTTTGTCTATCTTTGTCTATCTATTGCATAGGTGCAATTGTCTTTGTTTGGAAAGTCAGCCATCTAAAGTTTTAATTGCTGGCCAGGGATGGTGACTTATGCCTATAACCCTAGACTCTGGGAGGTCGAGGTGGGAGGATCTCTTGAACTCAGGAGTTTGAGACCAGCCTGAGTAAGAGTGAGACCCTGTCTCAAGAAAAATTAGTGGGCATTGTTGTATGTGCCTCTAGGGAAGGTGAGGCAAGAGGCTTGAGCCCAGGAGTTTAAGGTTGTAGTGAGCTATGATGACACCACTGCTCTCTCGCATAGTTATTTTTATATATATTAAATCATAGTCAAGCATAGTTTTGGAAAGTGTCTCAAAAAAATAAAGTTTTAATTTCTATGTCCTAATATATTGACTTTGTGAACATTTTCACTGACAAATCCTTGTTGGGAAAGATCTAAGGGAGGAAATGTCACCATGGAAAACTTTAGGAAATGATGATTGTGTTGCATAAATACTTTCCCACCTGAACTAGGTAGTACCCGCTCTTACCTTACTAGAGCACGTACTACCTAGTTCAGGTGGGAAAGTATTTATACTAAGGATTTTAGTGTAAACTTGAGGACTGAGAGTAATACTGTGATTTTTATTTATCTTTCTGGGATAGAGGGCAATTCTCAGATTATGACTTTTGGTAAACACACATCACAGGTGGAAGTGGATTGTGCAATGTAGGCCAATGCCTCTAATCATCGTAAAGGTAACTAGCCATTTAGGCAACTTCATTCCACTGTGTGCTAGATAGAGGCTGAGGCATGTGGAAAAGAGGAGACAACCCCATCACTAAGCTCTTGGCATAGAAGGGGTCAGAGTGGTCTCTACCCTTGACCTTGGCTTTCCAACACTGTCTATCTCTGTCCTTCCCCAGGGGAGCTGGCTTGGCTTTGGGGTTGAATTAGTAGCATTGTGACCAGAGAGGTGGTGTGGAAATGTGCTGAGAAGCTCAAAATTTTACACTGCCTTAGCCTTTTATTCTGTTTTTGCTTAAACATGTGCTCTCTAAATTTGGGCGTCCTGTGGCAGAGTCACCCTGACCTCGTTATAGCCCTGCTGGTGATTATGAAAAAGGGAGCTTTTCTCCCATTCAGATAGATT